CTTTGTCCTTTAGCAGATTATTTCTCCTTCCTGAGCCTCCATATTCCCAGCTATGAAATCATGGGAATTTATAACAGTCAGGGTTAGTGTTGCTAATTGCTGTAACAAACAAACCCCTCCTCTCAGTGGCTTAACACGAAGGTGTGTTTCTTGCTCCTGGCCCAGTGCACTGTGGGCCAGCGGGGGTGGGGAGCTCCATGCATTCAGAGATCTGGGCTCCTGCCATCTTGACTCAGTCTACCCTGGGGCTTCAGAGTCCTCCCCTGGCTCCTGAGCAACTGGCCATCAGGTGAGGACAGGGAGGATGTAGACGGTACACTGCTCCAAACCACCTCAGCACAGACGTAACGAACCTCACTTCCATTCCCATTTCACTGGCAGGAATAGTCCTGGGGCCCCAGCTAGACGCAAAGGCCTGCGATACATGGTCCAATCACATACAAGAGAGGGGATAACCCAGCCCCTGGTGACCACTGAGCCATCTCTGCCGCAGGGTGGGCCGGATCCTGCGATCCCCACTGACCATACTGGAGTGCAGAGTTGGGGCTCCCAGTTCATTCCTCTGTCTGCAGCCTGGGCCTGCCCTCCCTGAGCTCTGTTCCTCCTCCCTCCACCCGGGAAGAGAACCCGTCCCTGCCAAGCCTCCTCTCAGGGTGGGTGGTTGGTGAGATAATGATCTTACCATGCTTATTGCCTCTTGGAAGGCAGGTGCTGGAGAAAAACCAAGTCCGCTTTGATTTTTCTCCCTGTTCCTTTCACATTCCTTCCCAGGATAAATTTAGCCAGCCCTCGCTTTGAACGGCAGTGCCCGGGATGCGACTTTTTGTTCTCAGAGTCGCTGTCAGAGCCGTTTTCATGGTTGCAGCCTTAGGCCAGCAATGAAGACTTCAGGACCAGGCAGGCCCAGCCAGCCTCTGCCCTGCCCCAGACATCTGTGACCCACCTTTTCACCCCTGCCCAGTCCCCACGGGCAGTAGTTGCCACATCTCTGAGACAAGGGCCTTGAATTCTTCAGTGATGTGAGACAGAACGCTGAATGTAGAAGGGCTTTGAGATCTTGCACAAGGGCTGCCCCGTCCTTACCAGCCGCCGAGAGCACAGAGGCAGGACAGCTCAGGGGGCAAAAGCATGGACTCTGGAGGCATCAGTCTGGGTGGGAAGCCTGGCTCAGGCAAGTTATTTCTCATCTGTCTCCTCACCTGTAGCACGGGTCACCAGCAGCGTAGTCTTCATGAGATTAATGGAGATGCTTATATCAAGGGATCTGCATCATTTCTGGGGCTCTATAAACAGTGGGCGTGGAGATGGTGAGGGTCTATGCTTATCCTCAGCCCAACCTGAATGCCAGAGTAAGGACTTTCTGGAACCTTCTGCCCATTCCAGATACTTCTTTCCTAGACTTCTTTACAGTATTCTGAAAGGCCTCTTGGAGAATCATGTTCTTGGACCTCATCATCCTTGTAGATGCGGCACCCTTTCTGCTGTCTGTCCCACTGTTCTCCTGCTGCTGTGACTTGAATTCATTCTGTTTTGCCTTGTTGTGAAGCTCTCTTCCCCCACCACCCAGAGTGTAACTGACCATCGTTTTAAAGACAGGTGAGCCTCTCCCGTCTTTCTTTGACCTCCAACCCTCCTTCCACATAGGTGGTTGCACTTCTCTCCTGTCGACTCTGGGCCGTACTCTCTCTGGAGAAGACCCTCTTGCCTCCCTGCCTCTCCCTTCAGTGGCAAAGTGTGTGGGCACACACCTTCCGGGTCAGGCTCTCCCAGAAACCTTTTTCTCACTGAGTGGTTTTCAGCCTTACTCGGGCAACAGGTGCCTCACTCAGGCACACAGGCTCTGGCCGTGCCCACACACAGGCAGAGACAGGAGGTATGCCACCTGTTCCCCGGCGCTCCTTCCTGACCAGATAAAAGCTCTCTAGGCCTGAGCTTCCTCCTCTGTAAAATGGGGGTGGCAAGGGTGGTTGTCCTGAGAGGGAACAGTAGGTGACCTCAGAACGGGTGACTGAATGAAGAGACTGTGCACAAAGGTGTACTCAGGGTGAAAGGCACCAGCAATACTGGTGAAGGGCCTCAGCGCTGGCAATGTGGGCCACCTGCTATCACCTGGCAGGGGCGAGGAGGTGGGGAGCAGTTCCCAGAACCTGTAGAGCTAAGCCACTGTCAGAGATTCAGCAGACTGAAATCATGCTGCATCTTTCTTTCTGCCCACCCTCTGATCTCCCATCAGGGCCTCCCAGCGGCTGACCCCACCTGGAAACGGAGGGCAGGCAGCTTGGTGGACTTTTTTTTTTTTACTGGAAGGTACTGCACAGTGGGGGATGCCCCTCTCAATTTGAGGAATTTCAAGGTAGTTTTTCTTGCAGCAGGTTCTAGGGGCTGAAAGATTAACAGACATCTCTGTCCTAAAGTCTGGGAAATTAGAAGACTTCTCTGTCCTAAGGTCTAGGAGGTTGAAAGACATCTCTGTCCATGGAGGCTGAGACGCAGGATGCAGGCAAGTGTCAAGTCCAAACTATTATCCCCGTCCTCTGACTCCTTTCTTGGAAAAATCACCAGCAAAGGCAATACCGTGGAGTAGCCTCAGGCAGGGAGCAGATCCGCAAGAGCGGATCTCCACTCCTCCAAGAGTGGAGACAGACACCAACTCACTCATTGCAGAACCGACTCCCAGGGGTCAGTGCCGGACAGAGAATGGGTGTGTAAGCAGACAGAACATCTAACAAAAGAATCTCAATGGCGCCCGGCTAGAGGGGCTGGTCTCAGCAAGTGCTTATGCCTCCCCCCAACAGACCAGCGAGGGGCGCATGGGCACACCCACTTTTATAGACGTGGACACTGACACCCTGTAACACAGGGTGGCCTAAGTAACACAAAAGGCCAAGCTGCTAGCCAGGTGCAGCCAGGATTTAGGCTCATTTCTGCCTGACACCAAAGTTCCCCACAACCAGATGGCGGCAAGAGCAGACAGTGGCCGATGTTTTATGATTTAAGGTGACCCTTCCCCATCATAAATTTTCTTCCTCCCGCACCTGTATGTAATCCCTCCATTATTGATGAGCCTGGGCTGAGCGTGCCCGTCTCCCTGGTGTACAGTTTCAGATGCAGGTATCTCTGGGAGGAGTATCACATCAATCATTGAACACCGTGAGGGAATGAGTTTCCAGACCCCTGCGGGGAGAGGCCTGGGAACCGGTGGGGACCTGTGGGGACTGGAAACACTAAAAGGGACACACAGAATAGAATAAGAGTGATGCCAACCCCACACCATGAAGGAGCTTTCTGGGCCCTTTGACTCTCAGCATCTCACTCAGTCCTCACCACTTTCCAAGGATATTGGCTTCAGGAGCCCATTTTATAGCTGTGGGACAGTAGCCCAAAGACATTACACCTGGCTAATGTTAGAGTTTTGCCTGTGATAGGCAGAGCCACACAGGGGAACGTGCACTGACTTTGGAAGCCAAAAACTGATGCAATTCGAATCCCAAGCCCAAGTGCTAAATAGCTGCAAAAACTACAGGCAAATCTGTTCCCCGCCATAGGCATCTGCAAAATGGGGGGATAAACACCCACCTCTGATCATTGTCCTGAGTCCCCAGCATAGTACATGGCACCCAGCAGCCAAGGCAGAGAGGGCGTGGAGGTCAAAGTCTTGAACGTGGGCAAATCTAGCACCAGGTCTTGCTGGCTGGAAGTTCCTGGACAAGCCCCCCAAGCCCCTTGGAGCCTCAACTGAGACATAGAGCAGCACTCGCCCATCTGTATTATAAATTTATAAAGAAAAGGAATTTATTTCTTACCGTTGTGGAGGCTGAGAAGTCCAGTCCAAGTTCGAGGAGCCACATCTGATGAGAGTCTTCTCGATCGTGGGGACTCTGCAGGACTCAGCTGGCACAGGGTATGACACGGGTAGAGGCTGAGCGTGCTAATGTGCTAGCTCGGGTCTCTTTTCCTCTTCTTACAGAGCCTCCAGTGCCCCTCCCACGATAGCCCATGAATCCATGAATCCAGGAATGGATTAATTCATTCATGAGGGCAGAGCCAATGTCCTCTTAAAGGCCCCGCCTCTCAATACTGTCACATGCGGATTAAGTTTCAATATGAGTTTTGGAGAGGACAGTCAAACCATTGCACTATCCCATAGGTTGTTGCACAGGTGAAAGGAGATGAGGTATCTGAAAGCACTTTTAAAAACTGTTCGAGAAATGTAAACATATTTCTTTAAACATAACAACAGGCAGCATCAGCGAATATTTCCTGAGTGCTCACTGTGTTCCAGGCACTGTTCTAAGCTCCCGACACACGTAATTACGCTCAATTCTCATGGCAAACCTAAGAAGCAAGACTTTTGTATCATTCCCACTCACAAGTGAGGAAATTGATTCTCAGAGAGGTTAAGCAACTGGCCTAGGGTTGCACAGCTGGTGAACAGCAGAGAAGGAGACTCACACGGATAGAACTGAGGAAGCTTGGAGTCCAGCCATAGCTCAAACTTTTGTATGCACCAGAATCATTTAGGGAAATTATTTAAAAGGCAGAGTCTAGGGTAGGGGTCCTCAAACTTTTTAAACAGGGGGCCAGTTCACTGTCCCTCGGACCGTTGGAAAGTGCGCCCTGTGGGCCCGGGATGAGTCGGCTGCTAAGCACGACAGGCAGCTGCAGCAAAAACACCCAGCCGGGCCAGATGAATGTCCTAGGCTGGCGGCATGTGGCCCGTGGGCTGTAGTTTGAGGACGCCTGGTCTAGGGCTCCACCACAGACATGTTGATTCTATGGGTTTGAGGTCGGGCCCAGGAATCTGCTTTTTTAACAAGCCCCCAAGATGATGCCGGTGCAGAGGGTCAGCTCACCACACAGGGAGGACCATGGCAGGTGTTTGCAAACCATCAGGAAGGGTTGCTCAGTAGGTGAGGCTCGCAGGGCTCTAGAGGAGCCAGAAGGTTCAGGCCGGAGAGACAGGAGCCCACGGTGAGACCACCTTCACCTCTGGCCTCCAGGTTTGCCAAGTACTACAAAATGGAGAACGGCAGCGAGTACCGCACACTCCTGAAGGCTTTCGGCATCCGTTTCGACGTGCTGGTGTACGGAAATGTGAGTCCTGGGGCCAGGCAGACGGGGTGGCCAGGACGGGAGGACAGGGGAGGTGACCCAGACCTGCTCATGGTCCCTGAAAAGGCTTTGACACCCTCGGTCGGTGGCTCTCCTGTATCCTCACCTGTGCCATGAAGGGGTGGGACCTGCTGAGCCACCAAGAACCCTTCTGGCTCCAAGTTCAGCCACAAGCCTCACCTCCACCCTCTGCCCACGCACCTTGGTCTGTCTTTGTACACACAGGCTGGCAAGTTCAACATCATCCCCACTATCATCAGCTCCGTGGCGGCCTTTACTTCCGTGGGAGTGGTGAGTCCAGCCCTGTAGGCTGACAGGAGGCCAGTGAGCATGGGGCCCGGCCTGGCGCGGGTGGGCAGGGGAGTGACCGGGGCAAGCCCCCCCCCCACCAGGTGCGGCAGCTCCTTCAGCTCGCCCCGCTGCTGCGTGGGCCCTGGCTGGACCGTCTCCAATCACGGAGCGCTCGTTACCTCCTGTTACACAGTTGCTGTTTCTCACCGTGAAGGTGGGAGAAGAGACGCCAGGGTTGCCACAGACCTGAGATGCCTTAATGAGGAGCAGAGCCTGCATGGCTGGGTGGGGACATAGCCCTGCTCCCAGGGACTTCTACCCCTGCTCCTCCCACCAAGCCCTCTCTCTGCTTTTTGTGGTCTGGGGAGGACCCCACGGGAAGGCAGGCCAGGAAGACACCCTGCACAGCCCCTGGGCATTTTTCTAAGAGGAAAACATCCGTCAGCCCGGGACTTGCCTCCCACCAGCCTGCTGTCTGCACAGTTTGGGCAGCTCAGGGGCTGCCTGAGCCCACGGCTTCCTGCCACCATGCTCCTACCCATCCCAGGGCACCCTCTGAGCCGGCCCTGCCTCTCCTCCTCCAGGGGACTGTGCTCTGCGACATCATCCTGCTCAACTTCCTCAAGGGGGCCGACCAGTACAAAGCCAAGAAGTTTGAGGAGGTGAGTTGGGGACAGGGCAGGGAGTGGTGCTGGGCCCCAGGGGACTCTCAGGGGCTTCCCTTTTGGGATCTTCTGAAGGGGAGTTCATTGGGCCTCAGTGCATATTTCAGGTCCACACAAGAGAGAGTTTGGCCAAGAGTGGGCTCTGAAGACAATCGTGGGGGCTCTGCGGGTCATCACTGCCAACATCCCCCACCCCCATCGTCCCCTCTCCATTTCCAGCTGGGGGATTACTCAGGTTTCTGTTTGCCCTTGGGCTACACAGAAAGAGTCTTGGGTCACACGGACTTGCCCTAGCTGCCCCAGTGACCAGGCCAGGGTCCCTCACCGCTGAGCCTGTCAAACAGGGACACATAACAGGACCCTCTGCCTGCAGGTGAACGAGACAACGCTGAAAGTTGCGGCCTTGACCAGCCCAGCGTACCCCAACGACCAGACCACGGAGGAAAAGCAGTCCACAGACTCGGGGGCATACTCCATAGGCCACTAGGGCCTCTTCCCCGGGCCCCACACTCACCCTTGGGCTCCAGGCCTCCCACAGGGGACCCCAGCTGAGCAAGGGGGTAGGGGAGGAGAGGGGCTGTCATTTATGCTGCTCACCCCATGAGGCCGCAGCTGGGACTCAGGCTTCTGGACCTCCCTTTCTCTGGCAGACAGGGAGGGCTCCCCGCTAAGACCCCAATCTCACCTTCACCCCTTGCCTCCACCCCTTCTCTGCTTCCCAGGACCCCAGGGGCAGTAGCGCCTGAGTCATCCCTTTCCAAAGCATAGAGATAATATTGTTAGGACAAGTGGCCTCAAGGGCCTACCTAGTGCCAGGTACTTTCACTCACATTATCTCATTTAATCCTTAGACTAATCCTACAAGGTAGATATTAGTTTTCCTTGCTTTGAAGATAAACCAAGGCTCAGAGACACTGAGTCAGTTGCCCCAGGCCACAGAGCCAGGAAGTGAGAGGGCTGGGATTTGAACCCTGGCCTGACTAAATCCACCACCCACACCCCTTGAGAGAAGAATGAACTCCTAGGGGTTCAGCTCTGCTGCCTCAGCCGCCTCCACCTTGACCGTGACTCGGTTAATAGCGAGTAAGCCCCAGGCTTTCCGCAGGAACTCCGGCCCATTTTAGGGGAGGCCAGTTGGACAGTGGTGCAGGGTCTCATCTCTGACTTGGGTGGGTCTCAGATTCAGAAGGAAACAGGAGGCATGACTGTCGGTGAACTTTTCCTTCCCTTACTCCACAGCTCTGTCCCCAGATCAGGGAAGGGGCCGTTCCTGTTCTCCCTCTGGGACCTCACATGTTCCCACACACTTCTGGGCCCCTCACTCTGGGAGCCAGATTAGGCTACCCCCAGGCTGGGAGGTGGTTCCAGACCCAGGGTCCTGTCTTTGTAGGCTGGGGCCCTGTTCCCAGAAGTCAGCAGTCCTCACCTTGGTGAGAAGGTTCCAGTGAGGCCCAATTCCCTGAGAGCTGACCAGCCAGGCCTGTCCCCACAGAGTCCCAGTACAGTGCTCAGTCCCTAAGCTTAGAAGGTAAAGGGGCCCTAGAAACTGTCTTGTCAACTCTCCAGAGGAGCAAACTGAGCCCAGAAAGGGAAAATGACTTGTCCAGTGCCACACAGCGGCCAAAAGAGACCCAGGTGTCCTGCTTCTCAGAGAAGGAGGCAAGAATGGGAAGCTGGAACCCCTGCCTCCACCGGCCCAGACATCTCCCATCCCATTTCTGTCCTCCCCTCCTACAATGAGAAGCCCCCAAATCACACCTGGGGAGAGCTCAGGGGCAGACTCAGTCCTGCAAACCTGCAATTTGGAGGCATCTTTTGAAAAATAATATGGAATTAGATATTAGGAGGGGCTCATGCAAGTGACTGGCCCTAAAGTATATGTTTCATTAGCTTCACGGTAAGTCCCTGGAAAAGTTGGAGTGGGCGTAATCATGAGGTTTAAGCAGACAGGAGCTTAACTGCAGATGGAGAGCTAGTCCCTCAACAGAAGGTGCGGGCACTGGGAGAGGGAACAGCCTCAGGAGTAGCTCAGGAGGCTCAAACAGTGGGCACTTGCAAAGGCCTGACCCCAATGATTCCCCACCCCAGGGGGAGAAGGGGTGAGATTCCCCCAACATCACCCCCCCCTCACCCACTGACTGCCCCGTCCTCAGGATGGTGGGGCAATATCCCCCCAGGGCTAGCCTCAGGAATCTGGCAGTGTCCCCAGATCTGACCAGGCTTCATTTCTCTGGTAGAGGACATCAGTGAAGGCAACACCATGTCCTCCAACTAGGAGTCCCCCACGCCTCCCTGGTGAATCCAGCTCTCGGGAGGCTGGACGGAGGCTGGGGTCACAGGGATGCTCTCTAATGAGGAGGTGGAGGCAGCTATGTCCTGGAGGGACCGTCTCTCCCAGCCCCTCCCTTCCCTCCAGACGGGGGTGGTCCTGAGCCGGCCAGCAGTGTGCAGTCAGCCCGATGCTGTCCTCCCTGTATCAGAACTAAGTTACCGCTTCTGTGTGCTAGACGTAGGGTTAATATCAATAGTAAAAACAACAGCTAACTTGTCTCTGTTGCATGATGGTTTCCCCAGCACAGTCACCAGCATAATCACATGGACTCTCACACCAACCCTGGTGAGGTTGCTATGGCTCGTTATTAATCTATTGACAGAAAAAAGAAATTTACAGTACGTGGGAATTAGAACCAGCAGCCACGCTCATTGCTAACACTGCACTGCTGCTTTATTCCCTCAGCTCGAGACCTAACATTCACTGATTGCTCACCATCAGCAGGCACTGGATTACGTGGGTGACAGGCATTGTCTAATTCAACCCTCATTGTACAAAAGAAGACACTGGGGCATAAGAAACAAATGAGAGAATTGGGACTTGAACCTAGAACTTTATGAGTCTAGAGTTGGAGATTCTGACTTCTGTGCTATGTCTGGGAAAAATCTGGAAATTTGTTAGCATCCTCTTTTGGCTAAGTCATTTAGTTTGGCTAAGTCGGGTTTTGCTGCAGGAACAAGTAAAATGTCAATGTTTAATACAACAAAGTGGGTTAGACAGCCCCCTCTGTCTGGTAGCTGTGTCATTTGAGACATGGATTCCCATCATTGAGGCAGGGAAAGTGAAAACTGGAGGTAAGTCCCTGGAAAAGTTGGAGTGGGCGTAATCATGAGGTTTAAGCAGACAGGAGCTTAACTGCAGATGGAGAGCTAGTCCCTCAACAGAAAGTGCGGGCACTGGGAGAGGGAACAGCCTCAGGAGTAGCTCAGGAGGCTCAGAAGGGATCATTTAAAGACCAGGTCTGGAACTGGGTTACTTCACTTCCCACCACATCCTATTGGCCAGATTGAGTAGCATGTGCAGAGCCCATCATTACTGCAAGGAATGCTGGGAAATTCCTAGTCTTCCTGGAAACAGTGAGCACAGCACTCTGTTTCATTATCTCCTTTCTAATAGCCCCTTTTCCCCCCTCTCACCCCACCCCCAGCATGCCCACTGACAATTCCACACATCCTTCCCTTCTGTGTTCCTTCTCACAAAACCTTGTTCTCAGCAAGTTGCCAATCAGCCTCCTAGGAGTATTAATAGATAACATTTCTGGGGAATTTATTCTCTCAAGAGTATTTGCTTTTTAATCGAGGGCTATTCAAGACTGGAGGACCTTAAACAGCCAAAGGAATGAATACGTAAGGGTTTAAGTCAAGGCCCAATAACAGATAGTGCTGGAGATTTGAGGGACATCTTATCTACCTGGCCTGCCTCAAGTAAGCTTCAGCCTGGAGAGGCCTTAGCCCCTCTCCTCTCTCCTCCCTACCTCTATCGGTTTTAGCTGGCAGGATGTTGGGCCACTAGGTTTGGCTAGAATCCATTCCCCATCAGGGAGATAAGTGAAGACTGGTAAAAGGTGGTTCGCAATCAGCTGAAATGCCAGTCCCAGAGTCACCTACGTAGGGCTTCCCCTACTTCCTGTCCTTGAGATGCCACTGTTCTAGAAGCATGGCCTCAAGAATTGGCTTATTGCAGTGTGCAGTACAAGGACCTATGTGGGGCCCTACTCCTGGGCAGCTCCCCTTCCATACCCCTGGGGAGAATGGCCACCCAACCCACTGTGATTAGGAGCTTCCTGACCCAATCTACTGAGGACAGGCCTTGTCACCGGAGCCCATTCCTGGGGCCCAGCATCGGTGAGATTCATGGAAGTGCCAGTGCCTATTTTCCTGTTGCCAGAGGACTGCCCATGTTTAAGGGACTCATCCCAGCTGTTTTCTCCACCACCCACCTTCCCCAGGACTCTCTGATCCTATCCTATTCCCTCAACTCCAACATGCTAGAAACACAGCATACCTGGGAAAACTGTTCTTTTTGCTCCTGAAACCACATCCCATCAGATGCTTGTACAGATGCACATGCACCCACACAAACATAGACCTATATGCAGGTGTGCTCAGACACATGTTGACACATATACACACCCACATACATACTGGTTAAAGACACAGAGGAATACGTATGTGCATACACACAGATTCAGGCACATACTAGCGCAAAGCTACACAGACATACACATTCACAGATGTACACATACAGGCATACCCATAAATATATGAAGATATATGAATATGAATATATGCACACTCAACACACAAATGCACACTGACTCACAGATTTATGCACATTTACATATATAGAGTCACACATATACAGGTATGCACATATATACAAAGATTGACTCGTACACACCAAGATATATGTGTACACATGTACATGTGCTCACACATAAGTAGTTGTATATTCTCCCTGGGCCCCATATAGAAACACCGCCCCCTAAAAAAGTCAAAGTCTGTCTTTGTCTGTGTCTCAGTCTCTCAGTCTGTCTGTCTGTCTCTCTCCCACACAAACACACACACACACTCCAGGGCTCTCCACCTTCTTAATTCCTAGTCTCAGGTCTGAGCTCCCTACTTCTTCAACTCTAAATCCTTCCCGGAGCCCAGTAGCTCACCTGGGACAAAGAGTGACAACAGTATTCTCTCTCAGGCCGGGCGCTGTGGCTCACGCCTGTAATCCTAGCTCTTGGGAGGCCGAGGCGGGCGGATTGCTCAAGGTCAGGAGTTCAAAACCAGCCTGAGCGAGACCCCGTCTCTACTATAAATAGAAAGAAATTAATTGGCCAACTGATATATAGAGAAAAAATTAGCTGGGCATGGTGGTGCATGCCTGTAGTCCCAGCTACTTGGGAGGCTGAGGCAGGAGGATCACTCGAGCCCAGGAGTTTGAGGTTGCTGTGAGCTAGGCTGACGCCACGGCACTCACTCTAGCCTGGACAACAAAGCGAGACTCTGTCTCAAAAAAAAAAAAAAAAAAAAAAAAAACCTCGAGGTCTGAGAAAGTAGGGGACAGATAGAAGCTGAGGCCTGGGCTGCAGAACTGAGCATGGGAACCACACTGCTACCAGGCACCCTGCCTTCGGTCCAGGGCCCTACTGAGGCAGGCAGCTTCCTCCTAAGAATGTGGCCCCTTTGGGGAGGTAGCCAGGATGGAAGAGGGGAGGGCAGCCACCCTCCTTGGAACCGAGGGCAACACACCTCAGAAGAGGCTGGGGGCTTTGAACTCACACATTGGTGGCCAGGAATGGGGAATGGGGACCAAAAGAGGCTTGGGGCCTGGGGAGCAGGCTGCCTAAGACGAGTGTCTCCGCGCTTCCTGATGGTGTGTTCCCGGCTGGGATCTCAGTACTCCACGCCAGCTCTTGAATCAGCCCCACCGTCTCCGTTTTGGAAAGCTGCCCCTCCCCGCAGCCAGACGAAGCCAGAGCACCAGCTCCTCACCCCCACCTCCGCCCCCACCCCCACTCCCGACCCCCACCCCCACCCCCACCCAAGGAGCTGCTCCCCGTCCCCCAGCACGAGCACCGCCCCTCCCACTCCGCCTGCAGGGGGCGGCATTCCCCGACCTGGGGGGCACCCCAAGGCGAGCAATAAAGAGAGAGAGTCGGGAAGTGCAGTGGGAAGTCTGTATTCTTGACCCGGAGAGGCAGGGGACAGGGTCCACGCCGAGGTGGGGGGCGCGGGCGGCCACACCACAGGTGTGAAGACGAGGCTCGCAGGCGGCTCTCGGCGCGCTGGCTCAGGCCGAGCAGACGAAGGGCAGGCGCCTGCAGCATGGCGCTCGTCGCCACTGACCCCCTGGCCGCAGAGAGCAAGGTGGTGTCTGGTGCAGTGGGCTGCCCGGCTGGGTCAGGCGTGTGCCCCACCGCCTTCCCTCCTCGGGCGCCTGTTATGTCCCCTTCTACGCTACTGTCATTATCTGCCGGCTGCTTACTTCCCGCACATCCCTGCTAGCTAACATTTATTGAGCTCTTAGTGCAAACCAGGCGGTGTGCTAAGTACTTCAGACGGGCTGTGGTGTGACGCCAAGACGTACGTGCTATCATCCGCTCCATTTCACAGATGAGAAAACTGAGGCTTCGTGGAGATAAATAACTTACCTGTATCTCAGCTCTCAGCTGGCAAGTGGCCGAGCTGTATGCAAATCGCCGCGGTCTTGCTTCAGCACGAACCGTCTTAGCCACTACACTAAACCTCTCACATCTGGCATCAGTTGCCCACATCTGCCGTTTGAAGCTGGCATCTTGTCTCCCAGCCATCCCTAATTCCCACATCCTTTATCCTCCCTCATCCACACCTTATATTCACATCTGCTGCTCTCATCTGTCACATCTGTCACTAGAACTTGTCACCCTCATATCAGAGGTGGTGAAGGAGCTCCCACCCAGCCCCCTCCAGGGAGCCCCCATCTCCTGGTTTTGCTTGGAGAATCCTTGTATCTCAGCCCTCCTAACAGACAGGGCTTTGGGTGTCCCGTGGAGCCGGGGGCGGTGTGAGTTTGGGGAGGTATGTCCAGGTAGCTCAAAGGGGCAGTAGTGAGTCCACCCACCCCTTCTCCTTGCCCTGGTGCCCTTCCCCCTCACCTCTGGTGCATAGGGCTACGCAGCGGCCTCTCCCTCTCCTGGGCTGCCCTGAGGCCCAGAATGCAAAATTCCAGCAGCTGCCATCAGTCCAGTGAAACCGCTTACACAGCCACTGGAGAAGTGATAGGCTGGGTCAGAAGGCAGAGGTCCAGGAAGACAGGCAGACCCAGGGCCCCGGAGACCACCCACTGCTGACTTCCCTCACTGCCCACCTGGCCAGGAGCCAGACACCCTCAAGACCCATCCCTGAGGGTTTGCAGGCAATGACAATGCAGAGCAACCCGTCTCTCCCAGCCGTCACACAGAGCAGGCCTCTCAAACTTTACTGTTCATGCACATCTCCTGGGGATCTTGTTAAAATGCAAATTGATTCAAGAGGTCTGGGGTGGAGCCCAAGATTACAATTATGCTTTTTTTTTTTTTTTTTTAAGAGATAGGGTCTCACTCTGTTGCCCAGGCTGGAGTGGACTGGCATAATCATAGCTCACTGCAGCCTCAAACTTCTGGGCTCAAGCCATCCTCCTGCCTCAGCCTTCTGAGTACGTACAGCTACAGATGTGTGCCACCACACCCACCTAATTGTTTTTTTTTCTGTAGAGATGAGGTCTCACTGTGTTGCCCAGGCTGATCTTAGGCTTAAGTGATCCTCCTGCCTTGGCCTCCCATAGGATTATAGGCATGAGCCACCACACCCCCAGCCAGATTCTCCATTTCTAACAAGCTACCACTAATACTGATACTGCTGCCCCATGGACCACATTTTGAGTTCCAAACATAATGGCACTTATTCATCCACAATTTCAGAGCCACCCTGAGAGAAAAAGGCTCCCACTTCAGGGATAAAGAAACTGAGACTCTGAGAAAGCTGTTCAGCTAGTAAGTGACCAACCTGGGCCTGGAATCGGTCTCCTGACTCCAGTGGTATTTAAAAACCAGCTCTGGGGGAGGGTGAGAAGATGGGGAGTAGGAAGGAGCCCTGATTTGTAGCAATTGCCAATTTCCTTGGTGTAAATACTCCCACCATTGTGGCTGATTTCAAGCCACAAGCGTGTGGTCACTGAACAGGGAGTTGGGAAGAGATATATGCCGTCAGTTCTCCAGAGCAAGTATAAGCCAGCTCCAGCGTGCCATTGCCTGCCACTCTAAGGACACCTTAGCTGCTGGGCTGAGGCTTGGCACCAGCAGGTACTCCCTTAAGACAATCAGAAAAAACGTCCTGTGCCTGGAAGTTGACCCTTTACTTACCCAGCCCCTGATGAAGCCTCCAATCCAGATCTGGGCCTGATTGAGAGAGCTAGTGAAACGCAGAATGTGGCTGTTGAGGCTGTGGCTGTGGATGGAGACGAGGTTGCCTTTGTAGCATCTCCGGCAGACATTCTGCAGAGAGAAGAGACGTCAAAAATGCCCTCTCATTTGCCTCAGGTTTCTGAGTCTACATGCAAGAGCCCTACACCCCTTTCCAGGTTAAAAATAAGGGATCTACTTGCCTCCCTCAGTCCTCTTTTGCTCCTTAATTAGCTGCCAGGATAATCTTGTAGGATATAATGATAATATTCATAATAATTATAACCACTATTCATTGAGAGTTTATTATGACCTAGGGATTATTCCAAATACTTTCCATGTATTATCTCATTTAATCCTCACCACAACTCTTAGGGGTTGGCACTATATTATATATATTTGTAAAACTTCATTTTACACATGGAGATACTGAAGCTCTGAAAGGTAAAGTGACTTGCCCAGGTAGCAGATCCAATAAAAGGCAGAGCCAGGATTTAACATGGTTATATCTAATACCAAAGCCTCTTGGCTAAATCAGTGGTTCTCAAAGTGCAGTCCCCAGACCAACAATATCTTCACCACCTGGAAATTTGTTATAAATGAAAATTCCCAGGCCCCACCACACAGACCTCCCTAACCAGGAACCAGGCCCAGAAACCTGTTTTAACAAGACCTCCAGGTGATTCTGATGCATGCTAGTCTTTGAGACCCACTAGACTAAATGAATAGGGAACCACAGGTCAAATCCACTGTTTTCCCTGCAGTGGCCTCCCTGCTACTTACCTGAGCTCCCCTAAATGTCTTGGGGGTCCGCACCAACAGGTAGCGGCAGGTCTTGCACCCAGGACTTCCCTGCACTTGAACCGTGTCCTCTTCTCTGGGGCACTCCACGTCCTTGTCTAAGGCAGCTGGGTCCGACTCCATGGCCTCCTCATCCTCAAAGGAGTCTTGACAGTCAGAAGTCTCAACCTCTTCCCTCTCAGACTTAATCACCTCCTCAGTCAAGGCCAACTCCCCCTCCTGATCTCCTGAACCATCCAGATCCTGGTCCAGGTCTGCCTCTGTCTCTAGGATCTTCTGATAGGGGGCATCGTTCTCTGGAAAAAAGAGAGAAAACCCGCCATCTTCTTCCAGGACCACGGACAGCTCCAACAACCTCGCCCAGCCCTTCCTACCCAAGCCATGTGGATCCAGGACTGGAGATCTCCTCAGTATTAGCTGAGGAGAGATCTCTCGGGCCACACCCACAAACAGACAAGAGCCTGACTTCTGGCTGTCACCACAGCTGCATATTTTGGGGATGAGAGGAGACACATGTAAGAAGCCTGGAGTGGACACCAGCCCTCATCTTAACAGGTGGCTGGGTTTTCCTTCTGAAAGTTTGGGTCATGGTTCCGAGGCCAGGAGAAATGTTACCAGGGGTGAACTGGGGCAACCAAAGAGAGACGGCTGTGGCCCTAGTCCCATGGGAGCAAAAAAAGCACATAGGAAAAAGGGATGAGAAGGGAAAGAGAGGACTTACCCAGATGAAAGGCCGACACTGTGCCCAGCAGGACAAGAAGCAGAAGCAGGGGGTGTTTCATATCTACTCGGTCTTGTGCGAGAACACAGCTCCACCTTCCTTCTCTGGGCTGTCTGTGTGTCCGGCACAGCCCTGGCACATAGTATAGATGCAGTGTTTAATTACTTGATTAAAGAGCAAACTAGATTATTCTCCCCCCCTCCAGTGAACAGACCCTGAGCCGGAGAATGTGGAAGAGGAATGGGGATAGGGGAACTCAGGTACAAAAGTCCCTTTGTCCTCAGATCTCCATCACTGCTCCCTGGAACCACACTCAGCTCAGACCCTTGTCCCTGCAGGGATGAGTCTGCCCAGGGTCAGGGCTGATTCCACGCCTACTAGGGAAGGAGGAGGGGGAAGGACAGCGGCCAGCATGGCCCAAAGGACAGGCCTCCTAGGTGTTTGCCATATAGGGTGCTGCTTCCTCCCAAGCCCTAGACAGACCCTTCCTCCCAAGGCAGCCCAGAGAGAACTCACCTCTCAAGAGTCTGAGGCCTCCACTCTCAGGGTCTCTGGCTGCAGGGCCCCAGAAGCAGCCCTTATACTGGGATTTTGGGGAAGTAGGATGATTGCCCCAGGCCAGGGTGAGGGGCAGTGGATCTGATAACGAAGTTTGCTCAGCCTTCCCACCCTGGGCTCTGCTCTCTACTGGAACCATAGAAAACTGCCTCCTGGGGCCTCCTGCCCTGCATGGTGCCCACATACCCAATTTGCCTAAGAAGACCCCATATAGTACGCCTGTTTCTCAGGCTCAATTATTACTAGTGCCCCTAAAGTGCCCTAGTCTGAACAATACCCCTTAACTTCGGGAGCAGCCTCCCACTGACTGTCAATATCCCAGGAAATGGGGTGGAGACCCCAGGGAGCTGGCAGGAGACGGGGGGGGGTGCTGAGAAAAAGCACGTGGGAGAAGCTTGGAGAGGCCACCAGCCCTTCGTGTTAGCAGGTATGAACAGGTGGGTCATCCACTCCAGGGTGCCCCACCTGAGCCAAAGGGGAGCCTCAGCCTTCCCAAGTGCTATCCACACTGGGTGCTGTATATGCACCCACCCCTGACCTTCATCTTCACTCATCACCACCCCAAAATGGGATTCAGAGAGGGAAAGCCACTTGCCAAGGCTACACAGGAAGTGAAAAAATAGAATTTCTAAGTCTTTTAGCTCTCTCTCTTTCTCTGTCTCTGTCTCTGTCTCTGTCTCTCTCTCTCTCTCTCTCTCTCTTCCTCCCTTCTTCTCTCCTCTGCCTTCCTTCTCTCTCTCTCCTTCTTCTTTCTCACCTTTAATGTGTGGAAAACCTGTGCTCTTTCTTTTGTGCTGTGAATTCAGATCCAGGTTTCCCAACATTTGTACTATTAACACTTGAGGTCAAATAACTTTTTGCCATGGAGGGCTGTCCTGGGGATGGCAGAAGGTTTAACGACATCTCCTGTAGAGACAGCGCATGGTACTGTCTACCCAGTACACGGTAGTAGCACTTCCCTCCATTAGGACAATCAAAAATGTCTCCATACATTTCCAAATGTCCTCTGGAGAGCAGAATGACCCTGTCTGAGGGTCACTGGTGTAGAATGTGCCACCCTGTCCAACCTCAAGGTGTATCTTCAAGGCTGGCGACAAGGCAGCAGCTATAATGAAAACCTTCCTGCAGAGTCTCAGACACTCTGTAGACTGCCGTCCCCATCCCACTCACCTCCCAGAGTCTCAGGGCTAGGACTAGGCAAAATTCCGCTCAGAGGCAAAATTTAAGGGGATACTAAGAAATTCACTAGTCAAGATAAATAATATTTTAATGCAATCTTTCTTAGAAATTGAAATTAATGCAAAACATCTATGATGAACAAACTATCAGAATTTCCACCTGTCAAACTCCAGCCAAATTTATTGCAGTTTAAAGAAAGGCCAGCAAGTGATGAACCTTGAACTTGCTGGATCTCTCTGCCAGGAGCTAGTGGACTTGTCGGGGCGGATGACTCAACTCTGGCAGTGCATATTGGACCCCGTATTTCAGCCCAGCCCTCTGGGGCTCTGGGCAGAAGGGACAAGTAGCCCAGAGGGTGGGAAGGCCTGGAATCCTTCTCCTCTTCTGCATGCCCAAGAGACCCGCAAATGCACAAGTAAGTCAGAGGTCCCTTCTGGGCCTGATTGCAGAGTAACGGCCTTGACCACTTCTCTCCCCAGCCCAACGGACCAGATCCTTTATCTATCTGACAGCGGGAGGATTAGCCAATTCCTGGGCCCAAAAACCTGGTTTTCAGATATCAAGCTTGAGACCTCCCTAATGGAAGAGGGGTGAGGGTCATTCCTTCTCATCCAGGGGCCCGGGCCAGGGGCACCATTTCCCGTGGTGGTTGGATTGATCAATAAGGCCGGCCACTCTTGTGGGCCAGCATCACTATATGCTTTACACGCACTGTCTCCTTTTACAGATGAGGAAATGGCATCTTGGAGAGTCAAAACAAGTTGCTCGAGACCACTCAGCAAATCAGAGACAGGCCTAAAGCCAGGTCTTTCAGCTCCTCTTCCACCCTGCAGCTGCCTTTCCTCAGCTTCCTCTCCCTTCCCTCCCTCCCCAACAGACCTTTCCCTCTCTCGGTTGACCCTGTTTCCTTTGCACACAAACCCTGGGCAAAGACATTCCAAGGACTTCAATGACCTTGTCAATGGCCACAATAATTTCTGATTTGAAACCAGAAATAACGTTTTTGAAGGTCCACTATGGACCAGACCTTATTCTTCACTAAGGTGTTTGTATGCATTATCTTACTTAATCCTTAAAAGTCATCCTACAAATGTGGTATTGCTGTCTCTCATTTACACATGTACTGCAAAAGCTCAGGGAGATTTTTTTTTTTTTTTCTGGCAAAGGATAAAGACTCATCTCAAACCAGGGAGATTAAATGCCCAAGTTTGCATGACTAGTAACAAGTGGTGCCTTGGACCCTGGTCTGCCTGACTCCCCAGCCCTTGCTTTCTTTGATACATTCAGATGTGTTATCCCCGACAATCTAGCCAATGGCGCCAACATTGTTGAGGGTGGCCCCTGTGCCAGATGCTGTTCTGAAAGCTTTACTCACGATGATCTCACTAGAAGCAGGCCCTGTCATTAAACTTAGTTTACAGATGGGAGGACTGAGACACAGGGGGCCTGCCCAGAAGCTTGTGACTGCATTATATATCACTCCACACTGGCTCTCAAGATGCCACGGCCCACCCTCTGCATAATGGTGGGCTGGAATGAATCTTGGGACAAGAGGCAGAGTTTGAAACCCTTCTGAACATAAATGCAAACAGTAAGCCAGAGACTCCCAGCCGTGGAGGCATAAGGGTTAAAGGAACGTGCTTTGGAGCGGATAGAGTCGCATCCCAGCATCAGCCGCACAGAGACACTCAGCCTTGCACAGGTCTCTTAACAGATCATAACTTTTCTGAACCTGATTCTGTAAAATGGGGATAATAATTATTGAGCATATGATGCCATCTATGGACGGAGCCTGCCGCGGCAGGGGATACCTGGGAGTGCTCTGCAAGAGGTGACAACTAGTCAACGTTGCTGTGCTAATGTTACAAACAACTATGTTCCTGGATGCCAGGTACTGTGTCTTGCCTGTTCCCCGGCCTCATTTAGAGTCTGACGCATGGCAAGTTGTCCCGTATGGGGCTTCCCCAGAAGCAGACCCTGAGACAAGGATTTGAGCACAAGTAGTTTATTTGGAAGTTGCAGAGACACTAGGAGGGAGCAGAGAAGTCATGCAGGGAAGGGAAGCCGGCCCATAAAATGTGTGCTGTAAGGCCGGCTCCCTGCAGCAGGTCGCTAGAGTTTAATCTCATTGGGAAACCCTGGGAGATGGTGCATGTTAGATTCATTCCACTGGAGGGCCAAGGGACTGGGGTACCTATACACTCACTCCTGAGAGCTGTGGGTTGTTCCCCGGGACATGTACATTTTCTTGCATGTCAAACCAACCACACTTCTGGGGCAGGGCAGAGAGAGAAAAGGCCTTCAGACATGGAGATACAAATATAGGCTCTCGGGAATCCACCTAAAACCTTGAAAGGTCTGAAAGGTATGGATGGGGTCCTGGCAACACCTGCTACACAGGTGCCCAGAAATTGGGTGTGCTACGAGGAGAGCTATCTGAGCCCATTCCTCTGTCTCCAAAAGGCTCCATAGACCCCCACCCTCCATTCTCCTTGAGGAGTGGTGACCTCTGACCCTTTCTCTGAAAGGTGTGTCATCTCGGGAGGGACGTTGAGGCAGAAAGGTCAAGGGTGAGGGTAAACAGAATGGATCCACGATCAGAGAAGAAAATAAATCATTTTAGTAAAGCAATTTTTTTGTTGCAGGGAGGTGGAGGGAGGGGCAGCAGGCAGGGGAAGGGAGGCGGCTGCCCAGGAGGAAGCAGCCCTGTACTCCCAGCAGGAACCAGCTCAGTAGGAACAGACACACGTTGCAGTTAGATAGACTCCACTGGCCTCCTGCAAGGGCAGAACAGGACGGCACCTTCAGCCCCTTGTCCACCTCTGCTCTGCCCCCAGGAGGGTCTTCCCCTTGTCTGTCTCCACACCTCAGTGGAGATAGAGTCTAAAGACCAAGGAAGCCTCCCCCCAAAAAGGTCAGGCTCCTCCTAGTGCCTCCTCCGTGGGGCCTTCCCCCATTCATCCCCAGCCCACTCACCTCCAGTATACATGGAAACACATCTGCCACTGAAGACCGAGGGCTGGCCGAGAGCCCAGCGTGCAAAGTTCCAGCAGCTGCGGTCAACCCAGTGCAAACGTGTGCAGGGCCTGGGGAAGGCAGAGGGGGGCTGGGGAAGGGGCAAAGGGAAGGCAGAGAGGAAGAGCTGGCCCTGTCCCCGCCAGCTCCTCCAGGGGCCCTTGCTTCCTGGACCGTGATGGACCCTGTCCTGGTTGTCTGAAATATTGATCCACAGCGATCATCCCCATCACGTTCTGTGCATCCCACTCGGACATGCTTATCCTTCTAGCCCCAACAAGAGGTAGGGCAGGGGCTGCCAACCCATCCTAGATATGAGGGAACAGGCCCATGGTCTTGCCCAAGTTGCGTAGTCAGAGGCAGAGAGGAACTAGAATCAAACCTCCTGATTCTAAAACCCGGGCTCTTCCCAACGCTTTGCAGCCCCATCAGTGTCTCTCCCAGGTGTCCACCTGTCCCCAATCCTGCAGGGGATCACAGAGGAGAAACACACGCACATCTGCAGCAAGTTCAGCACTTTCTGGGATCACGAGGTGGCCCCCACTTAGCACTTACCCAGCCTGTGGCCACGCCTCCAATCCAGACTTGGCCCTGGTTGAAAGAGCGGGTGGTGCACTGGATTCGTAAATTAAAGCTGAAGCTTGGATGGAGGCCAGGTTGCCTCAGTAGCACCTCTGACAAGTTAACTGCAGGGCAGGATAAAAGGGGAAGAATGGAGTGTCCCTCTCACATGAATTCACATGACCATAGTCTTGGGTCTCTGAGTCACCAAAGTTCATGCCCACCCTCCCGTGCTACAGCCATCTGAAGGCTAGACACCAAAATGCAACTTCTGTCTGTTTCCCTCCCCTCTCACCCCAGCACCTTGGTGGGCCTCAACTTCTGCTGACACCCCCAGGGCCCTCAGTGGGGAAAAGAATCAGCAATATGAAGGCTGGAGACACGACCCCCCATCCCCTGCCCCCAGGCCTCAGCCTTAGCTGCAGGCCACTCACCTGAGCACAATTTAAATTCCTGGCAGCCGTCACCACAAGCAAGTGGCAGGTTTTGCACCCAGGGTTTTACTGCATTCTCTTCCTTAGGACACTGAAGGTCCTTGTCCAGGGCAGAGGCCGACTCAACAGCCCCTCTCCTTCCAGGGAGTCTTCACTGCCCCCCCTCCTCCTTCTCCAACAGTGCCATCTCCCCAGGAGGGGCCTCCTCGGCCCCCTGTTCTGGTATCTCCCGACCTGGGGCAGGGTCTTAGCTTCCAAGGTGCTCTCAAAGTTGGAAGTTTTAGCCCCTGGCAGGAAGAAAGGCCACATGTCCTTCCTTCACATGTCCACATCTTCCGCTGCTCTTCCCCAAACCACGGACAGCTCCCGCCTTGCTCTGGGCACCAGAGGGCTCAACACCACCTGGAAAGAGGAGCCTGGAACAAAGTCTCCAACAGCAGCACCCAACCTCCCCCACAAGATAAAAATGGTGAAGAGCAGGGTTGCTTCAGTTACTAGCTTCATTTCTTTGTTGGTGAAATGGGTACGCAACACTACCAACCTCACAGGAATGCCACAAGGGTTAAAGGAGATGATGCACAGAAAATGCTTAGTGCCGTGCAGTCAGTAAGCTCAAAGGGAAATGAAGCTATTGTTATTGTGACCATCATTAGCATCGTGTAGAAAGGACAAAATTGGGAATGTCACAGTAGAACCAAGACCGCAGACATAACAGCTGCCCCGAGGAGTCCTTTCAACTCCTGGCCATAGGGTCCGTATCCTTTCAAATGTTCAGAGATTCTGAAATAGGGGATGATCAGAGAAGGGGGCGGGTATGTGACTCTGACCCCGTCTACTATAGAAAGGAACAAAATAGAGGAGCAAAGACGGAAGGCAAAGAACACTTACTCAGATGAAGAGCAGAAACTGCCCCAAATAGAAGAGCCAGAAGTAGGGGGAGTTTCATCTTGGCTTTGTCCTACAATGGAGAGCACAGTTTGTCATGGAAACACACACACACACACATACACACACATTGCAGCCACCGTTAGGGGACTGTAGGAATGAGGGGGAGAAAAAGAAGGCGTGAATAGAAATCAGGATGGCCCAGAAAAGCTCGTGCTGAGCCCAGCCTCGGACGCTCCAGGCCCCGGGATGCAGGGACCTCTTCCTGAGTAGAATGAAGTGGCCGAGGCTGGCTTTCCTGCAGGCCTGGAAGCGAAGGAGGGAATATCATGCTTATCTGTTTGTACTTAATAGGTCCCTCAGAGTCTATGGTACAAGACAGGAGGGAGGAGCAACGATTGTTGGCCTTCCTAGGAACATACGGCACTTAGAAAATGTGTCCCCTCCTCAGAGCTCAAAAGCCCCATGCTCCCCCCACCACCATCTGCCTTCCCCAGCCAAGGAGAGCTTTCACACACCTCAAAGGAATGTGCGAGGCAGAGGATGAGATGCGCTTCCCTGCTGGCACCTGTAACCTGAAAGCCACGTGCAGGCACGCCAACCCTCCCCCTCCCCAGAACCTGTCAGCCAAAGCCAGGCACCTCCCAGGAGACCGAAACATCACCACCCCTGAAGTCAGCTCCATCTCAACAGAGAAAGCACTCGCAGGCCCAGAAGCCACCGTGGGTCCTTGGGAATCCTCAGAGCTCGGGCCCTCATTGGCTCCATCTCACAAAGACATTAATACATACGGGGCGTTGGAGGAAGTTCTGTCCACCCAGGAGGGTTTGCCTCAGAGGAGAAGGAGATGGGAAGGCTGATAAGAACCATTTCTTCATTTCCCCTGAGAGCCCACTCATTTATTCACTGCCGAGTTCCCTACTGACACCCCTTTCAGGTGGGCCCCTGGGCCCCTCTGGACCTGCCCAGGGCTGATGGTTCTTACCCTGGGCTGCACTTTAGAATCTCCTGGGGAGTTTTTCCAAAATACACGTTTCCTGCTTTACTGGTAGGGATGCGAATTGCTACAGACATTTCAGGAACAAATCTGTCAATATCTACTAGGATTAAAATTCACATGTGATCCATTTCACTCTTTGGAGACTGAAAAGCACCTATAAGTAAGAAAACTTGTACAAAATTACTTGACTGTTTGTAGAAATGAAAACAATGTGGATAGTGAACTGGACCATGAATACAATGCATCCCATCTATTCTACAGAACATTATACAGCTACGAAAAGAAGAGCTAAACCTATATCTATAAACCTGAAGTGAGGGGTCTGCTACGTTATGGAGTGGGGGGAAAGGCAAGATATAGAGGAAAACGTTTGTATGAGGATAGCGTTACAAAGAGAAAACCCCATGTAAGTGCTTATCTTTGAGCTTCCTTTATATGACCGTTGATAGAGCTGCAATACGGAAAATGATTCCCACCAGATGGTTGACCCTGGTGCCTCCAGGAGCAAGGTAGGAGGGGGAAGGGAGCTGAGGGAAGTTGTTGTTTTCCTTCTTTTTATAACTTTGCATTTTTCCATGGTCATGATAAATGTGTGCTAAATCTGTAATTTTGGAAGAAACCTTATTAAAGATTTTTAAAATACGCAGATCCCACCCTGGGAAATTCGGATTGGCCAATAGGTCTAGAGTGGAGGGCAGATGTCTACGCTTTGTAAGTTTCCCAGGTGATTCTGATGGAAAACGGGTCTGGGAGTCACTGTTCCGGGGCTCTCCAAGCACAGGACATGCCCACGTATGCCTCACCTTCCCTCCTGACTTGACCGCTCAGTTGGCCAACCTACCAGCCTGCATTATGGTAACACTTACTGCACAGTTTTAACTGCTGTGCATGGCAAGTATTATCTTATTTAATCCTCTAAGAATACCAAGTGCGTGCGGTGACTGCTACCTCCATTTTCCAGGTGGGGAAACTAAGGCTCAGCGTGGCTTGTGACCTGTCCCCTCTCCCACTGCCCACACTGGAGCAGCTCCCTGCCATGTGCCATTTTGTAGCTCCAGGGTTTGTCCTTATGGCAGGTAGTCGTTTTGCTTTTTTGGTGAAATTATCTGGCTAATGGTTTAACATCCATCTCCCTCCCTAGATGATACGCTCCATGATGGCTCACTCACCAGCGCATCCTTGGTGCTGGTACAGGGCCTGGCGCGTAGTAGGTTCTCAATCATTATTCGTTGAGTGAATAAATGAATGGTTAAGGAAATTGCTCAGAGTTGGGATTCAAACCTGGTTTTCTCTGGCACCAAACTTCTCTCCCCTCCCATATACTTGCTCTGTGTCAAAAATGTCTCCAGGTGGAGACGAAATCAGAATGAGGCATGGTCCTTGTCCTAAGTGTGCTTACTATCTAATTCGTAAGATGATGTAAGATGAGACAGACAAATTCAGGTGAAACAGTAGGAAAAGGGTTAAGACGCAAGCTAGGAAGCGCTCTCTGGCAATTCGGAAGGAGGTCCATCCATAGAAAAAGAGGGCAGAAAAAGCTCCCCGACAACTGTCTGGATGGAAAGGTGTGAAGAGGAGGGAAGGACACAGGCACTCCAAGTAGAAGGAACAGCGTGAGCAAAGGTGTGGGGTGGGACAACCTTGGCGTATGCACAGGACAGTGTTTTTCCTTCATAACCACAGTTAACAGTATACACGTTGGGAAAAGGAAGGAAAAGGGGGAAGAATGCATCTCATCGTGAGCCAAGGATGGGGATAGCTTTCCCTTGTCGCCACTGATTGAAAAAGACAGAAGGAGGAACTAAGAGAATATTCAGAAAGAGCCTGGACAGATGCTCTGAGCTGTCCCCAGGCCCATCCTCAGGCCCTCCCTGCAGGGCCACTTTGTGCTCTGGGCAGAGCTACGACAGTCAGAAAGTGGCAAGATGGGGTAGTTATTGGAAGCCAAGTGGCTACTCTGGCATCCTCACCTCTGAGCAAAGTCTCTCTTTTAGGTTGCACAATCCAGGGTCTGAAAGCCACACTTTAGTGACCTGGAAATTCCATTTCATCAACATTTGGTGGGGGGTACAGCGCAGTGTCTGAGAGTCGGACAGGCCAAGTCAGACTCAAGGTGACTATGTGTAACACTTAATAGCTGTGTGACCCTGGACAAGTTCCTTAACCTCTCTGTACCTCATTATCACCATTTATAAAGTGGAGTGCATTCAATCTTTCCTAATCTCACCCTCAGGGGCTTATCTCGACTTTAGACTTGTGAGAGAGCTTGCTATACACCTGCTACAACCTATCCAGAGGCAGGCCTGGCACTGAGGGGTCTGCCCTGCCACAAGCGTGAGCTGCTGCACAAGGTGTGTGCCATGTGCGCAGCAGGCACTGAGCAGATGTCGCCTTGACAATGGTGTCCAATACCAAGGAACTCTGAGTATGTCCCTCCCATGCCCACCTCCCAACACACAGCAGCTTGAAGGCAGAAAACTGCAGCTGCAGATACGCAGCCATGCATTACAACACTCAGGATAGGCTCCAGGGACCATGAATTCTGCAATCAGAGACAACATGTGGCCAAGAATGACCCCACCCTTCTTCACCAGTAAAGTCCTGTTTGGCCCTTGTGATAGGCAGAATCTGAAGATGTCCTCCAAGATCTCCACCCTCTGGTGTACACACATGGCATAATCCCTGGGGCTGAAAAGAGGATGGATTTTCCTCCTGTGGTCACGTTATATTCTATGGTTCTTCCTTATCAGGCCATATAGGAAATTGACTTTAGGAAAGGGAGAACATCCAGGGTGCATCTGAGCCAATCGGGTGAGCCCTTAAAAGAGGACTGAGCTCTCTTTCTGAAGTCAGAGATTCCAGGCACAAGGGAGATTCAGCCCACAAGAGATTCTCCGTTGCTGGCCTTGAGAATGGAGAAGGCCACATGGCAAGGAATGTGTGCACCCCTGAGAACCTGAGAGCAGCCCCATCCGACAGCCAGCAAGGAAACCAGGACCTCAGTCCTATGACCACAAGGAACAGAATTCTGCCACAGCTGCATGAGCTTGGAAGAGGACCCCGAACTCTGGACGAGAATGCAGCCCAGCCAACACCTTGATTTTAGCCTTGTGAGACTGTTAACAGAAAACCTAGCCAAGATGTGCCCACACAAGTGACCTACAGACCTGCGAACTAACAAACTTATGTTGTTTGAAGTCGCTCAATTTCAAGTGGCAATTTGTTATGCAGCATAGAAGACTAATAGGGCCCTCACGTCCCATCTTCTTCCCAGGATGAAATTTTTAGTTGGATGCAGTTGGTAGGGGGATTGGCAGAGAAGGGTCCCAAAGGAACAGGCTGAGGACCTGCTGGAAAGGAACTCAGGGACAGCAGAGCAGGTATTATGGACAGAAAGAAGGAGACATCAGGCTCAGGCCAGAGGTGCCACCTCCCACTCCTTCAGAGTATGAGAAGCTAAATAGTCCCTTCTAGTTCCAAGTTTTGCTCAGCAAAACTTTTCCCTCCCTGCCCTCAGAGAAACTTCTGGGGCTGATCAACTGCTTGCCAGCTGGGCTTGGCCAACATCTCCGTGGGGCAGATAAGAGGTGGCAAAAGGGCTAACACCATCCCAGACGGAGATAGGGACCTGGGCGGTTGCTCTGTGATATCAGCCTTGGCAACAGCTCCCCTGACACTTCCCCATTCGTATGCCCCAACAACTGGCATAGACCAACATGACTGACGTGCTAGATCTGGAAGGGCCCTTCGCGACGAGCCAGTCCAGGGCTCATGTCTCAGGTGTGGAAGGATGCTCTAGACTGGACCCAGATACCCTGCTTCCAAGTTCAGTGTTCTTCCTGCTTCCTCAGTGAGATTTCCCTCCTCTCCCAGAGAGTATGAACACTCAGCAAGCATAGAAGGAATATGCCGTTGCAGTCAGGGCCTGCCCTGCCCACCTTCCACCTCTGGTACCTCCCAATCCATCCACTTCTCTCCATCTCTGCTGCCACCTTGCTGGCCCCACCACCATGCTTGATAACATGCATCAGAGCCTGTTGTCCCCACACTTCCCATTCAAAGTCTAGCAATTAACCCAAACCCATTACCACGGTCTGCA